CTTACTTACTTAACTGCTTACTTACTTGATTACTTACTTGGTTACTTACTTACTTACTTACTTACGTCTGTTAACCCCCGATGGAGTATAGGTCACCGACCAGAATTCTCCAACCTACTCTGTCCTCAGCCTTCCTTTATAGTTCTATCCAATTGTTGTTCATTTTTCTCATGTCCGTCTTCATTTCTCGGCATGTGTTTTCTTTGGTCTCTTTCTCTCCTTCTTCGGGCTTGAGGATTGAATGTGAGGGCTTGCCTTGTGACACAGTTGGGTGCTTCCCTCAATGTACGTCCTATCCACTTCCAGCACTTCTTCCATATTTATTCTTCCACTGGAATCTGGTTTTTTCTCTTCAATATTAGATTGGTGCTGATAGTGTCTGGCAGTTCTCTTAGTTTCCGTTCTCCATACAGTAGAACTGTCTTGACATTTTTATTGAAAATTCTGAGTATGGTGTTGGCTTGAATACAGTTGTTTTTAGTTGCAGATGTTCTTCGATTTTAGATATGCTGCTCTTGTTTTGCTGATTCGCCTATTTACATCTGCATCAGATCCACCGTGTTCATCAATGATGCTGTCCAGATGTGTAAAGTTGTAACAAATGTCAAACGGAGTGCACTGAAATCACGGAGTTGGCAGAACAATTAGAGACCAGACGAGAAGAGTTCAGATAACAGAACACACCGAAAGATGCAAATAGACGATTGAAGGCTATGTATCTGGGTTATGTAAATACTTCGTGATCTCGTATTATTGATACATTTCTCCTGCCTACTATTGTATTCAACACTAGTTATGCGCCCTTTACAGTATAATATTTACAGTGGGCTGTTATTTTTAAATTTATGTGTATAATCTTGTAAGCACTTAAATCTGAGGCACATAAAGAACATAGAATATAAATAATACTTGGTTAGTCTTTCTGATGTTCTGTCATGTGATTAGGGAATTGGTAAATTTTGCTTGAGGTTATTGATTATTGTTATCTTTTACATTTATGTAGGAAGTCATTTGTTTTGCACATGTGATACCAAATACGGGATCATACCCAGGTCCTTTAGTTATCCTAGTGACTATCATAATATTTAGTCATCGAGTTAGATTCTTATGACCTGCCTATTTAACTTCATTAACGCTAACCTATTGAGAGTAAACCATGTTAATGGTCATAACTATTTCCATCAATAAAACTTAATGATTAAGAGGTTAGTAACAGTTAAAAAACCATGATTATCATCTTAAAAACTAGGTTGTTAATTTCATCATTTTGTTAAAACATACCTGTCAGGTGTCTCTTGGCACACTAAAATATTCAAAAGTTTTCTTCCTTAATAAATCAATTAAATACAACCATCGATCATTAACTCTTCATATTGAAACATTAATCAAAACTATGAATCAATCAATATTAGATCACCACTGAAAACCTAAAAGTACCAAAAATCCATTTCATTTTAATGTAGGGCTCCTACACACGAAATCATATGTACACTATTTTGAGATATCCTATATTAGGACAAAACGGTTGTTCAATGCTATCAGATTATCAGTTGTTTTATTTATTTATTTATTTTAACACATAAATATCGGTACAAGAAGGCACCAAATACATATGCGCCACACAGATCTCATTTGATATGTGTGAGGGCTGTGATACTGCCCGGGTGCGCAAACCGAACCAGGTGGTTTTCTTAGGGGGCCACACCCCGAGCCTTCGACCTGAAGATCTGATCCACAAGGAAGTGGAGCATCGTGAGGAGATGCAGTCCCATGGTAGCCGGTGACCAACGATTGGTTCATACGCCATTTGTTCCTTCAGGATACTGGAGCCAGCCCATGTGCACCATTGGTTTGGGATCCGGTTAAGGCGCCGGAAATTCGCTTTTCGTCCTCTCATTTTCGTAAACAACACCCGTGATGTGAGAAGGCAGTGAGTAGGACTTCCCTGGCAGAGGCTGTATACGCGTGGCCATATGAGAGCATTTCGAGAGGGGGAGCGGACTCCCCCCACTCTCGGTCGTACCAGGGCATTTGGGGGCATTATCAGTTGTAGTCTAACATTAATCAATTTATGATTTCAATGAAAATCAACAATCTTTACAACCTTCAATTGAAACATTTATCATGAGTAAACAAACTTAAAATTTTTACAAAAAACACTTTTATGGTATGAAATTATAAATATAAGAAAAAAAATAAATAAATAAAACACACATCTTTTTCCCTGTATAAATAACTAATTTTTCAAAGCATACAAACATGGCAACTAATGTATTGTGTTTTTGGTTAATCAATATAAAATCATGATAAACTATTGATGTTTCTTGTTAACTTGACATCTAAATCTAAATTGGATTTATTGACCATAAAAATATTTAAATCTTATAAGAGATGGAATCTATGATTAGAAAATGTTTTGGTAGTTTTATCTAGATTAAGATTACCCTTCAGTATTGTTTTTGTTTACAAGAAATAGACCTAATGGATAATTTTTTCTACAGAAATCTCTTGATTATTAATATGAACCATAATCAATTAAGATTGATGTGACAATGTCTTTTAAATGGTTTTTAGTTACTATGGATTCTGTTTTGAGATCATGAATTGATTGATGTTAGATCACCATTGAAAACCTGGAAGTACTGGACGGCCAACTCTTCTTATTGTGGAACTCACAAGCAGTGCACATCTACCATCCTACTTACGGGATTCAAACCAAGGACCTTCAGTCTGAAGAGCGAACGCCCAACCTCTAGACCACTAAGCCAGTTGGTATTCAACGGTGTTAATGTCTAACCTTAATCAATCTACGAAATTGTGCGACCATCTTCCATGATACTGAGGTAGATACCTGGTCACAGCTTCAAATCCCGCGGGCAGGATGATGGATACGTACTGGTGGGGAGTCTTACAATAGGAAAAAACGGCCGTCCAGTACTTCCAGGTTTTCAGCAGTGGTCTCAAATCATTTGATTCATGATCACAATCTAAAACCTAATAACCTCTACAAACATATACTGATGATTCTGTCTTAATCACAGTCACTCTAGACAAAAAAATGAACGATAGACAGTGTTATGATGATTAAACTGTTGAATACGTTTAACCTAGTATGTTGTGGTTGTTAAATTACTCTAAAAAATCATCGAAGTAAAATGTATTTCCCCGTATTGTAAACATTAAATCATAAAATATTAAAGAATTAAACGACTACTGTCTACCATGAAAAACTATGTCTATCAATCATAAGTAGTATCATGCTTTCATAAAATATGTATAACTTGTCATGAATCTATCATCTGTCAAGAAAACTAATCAGAATCACCACAATAGTTCATATATATTTACCCCTTCCATCAAGGTTTACTTAGATAAACAAGAATTGGTTATTAATAGACTTTATACATACAAATGAAAGGAACTGTCAAAGGACACAAATGTCTATGGATAAATATATATTGGGCAACTGATCAAAGTTTGCAAAGTTTATATATATTTAAAGATTACAAGCTAAATGATTATAAAATAGAAATTTCCCAGATTATATGTTGAAATTTCTGACCTATGATCACGTTTATGGCATTAAACAAAGAGAGCATTATCAGTCTCTTGTTGACATATATGCATCCTGTGCGGACTGACTCGACATTGCCTTAAGTCACAAGCTTTATAAGAAAAGATGGATAGTAGCTAGTAGTAGAATCCAGGACGCACGTTTCATCCCATTTTGGACTCGTCATCTGGATGTGCCTGCATCTCAGAGTTGACGTTCACTGTCGGATTCGAACCCAATAGCGTATATATGCCAATAAAAGACTAATCAATGATAGTCTTAAATAACAACTGGAGGATACAAGTAAACAACATCGAGTGAATTTAAAACTTCAACCCATTACACAAACAAGTGGATAAGGCGACAGCGTTTGAAGTGAACGGTACTGGATTCGAGTCCCAGATTGAATATCAATTTTGAGATACAAGTACATCCAGTTGACGAGTTCAAAATAGGACGAGATGCGCATTCTGGATTTTACTACTAACCACTATCCATATTTGTTTATATCAATATATTGAGCTATAAAAAAGAAGTTTCAACGACAAATGCTTACAATTGTCATTATTCTACAATTTTAAACAGCATGAATGAAATTTAAATTTATTACTTAAATGAACAATTATACGTTTGAAGGGGTTTTGTGGAGATTGTAGTAATTTCAATGATTTTCCATGGTGGTCTAGCTTCAACTGACTCATGATCTTAATCATTGAAATTACTACAATCTCCACAAAACCCCTTCTGACAATAATCAACAAATGCTCACTAGTGACTGACTTCAAGAGGTATATCCTGGAGTTCTAGTGAGAAGTAGTGACCAGTGGAGTTCAACCAGGTCTGTTGTGGGATGTGTCGCTCAATTTCGTGGATTAGTTGAAGTTAGACATTAACACCGTTGGATGCCAGTTGGCTCAGTGGTCTAGTGGTTAAGTGCTCGCGCGCGAAACCAGTAGGTCCTGGGTTCGAATCTCGCAGGGGGTGAGATCGTGGATGCGCACTGTTGAGAAGTCCCATAATAGGACGAAACGGCCGTCCAGTGCTTCCAGGTTTTCCATGGTGGTCTAGCTTTAACTGACTCATGATCTTAATCATTGAAATTATACATCTGTCATTGATTATGATTATGCTTAAGACAACGGCCTAGTTGATGTAACTTATCAATTTAAATTTTGCTTACGAAATCATAACATTACTGTTTTTAACAGTTGAATTCATGAGTTATTCAAAGCTAGATCACCATTGGAAACCTGAAAGGCCTTTTTCGTCTTAGTATAAAACTCCTTAGCAATGAACAACTACGATTCTACATACAATACTCAAACCCAGGACATTTGATTTCACACTCGAATGATTAACCTCTAGCTTAAATCAATTCATCAATTCAACTATAATATGAAAATACATAAACAAAACAAAACAAAACAAAAACTAAAATACAACTTACAGGTATCCCAGATAAATAAGCACATTCCATAGGATCTAATTCAGGTACTTTCCATGTTAAAAATAAACCAAGTGAAGTAGATACAATTCCAAGAAATAATTGCATACATACTAATAAAACAATTAATGAACATAAACAACGTGTAAATGAATCACCTTTTTTCACATGTAATTCACTTATATTTTGTATAGGATCATTTTTATTCAATTCTATATCATTTGAATTATCATTAATATCATTATTTTGTTTAGATATTGATTTACTACTTAGATATAATGAATTTTTATCTAAATTTATATTACTTATTAATGATATAGATGATTTTATATGATTAGAATGATTTAAATGATTATTATTAATAAAATTTACACTACGCATACTACTAACAATATTTTCATGAGTAGTAATATTATCATTAGTATTTATATTAGTATTAAAATGATTTTGTGAAGATAATGAATTTGATCGACGATTTGATTGTAATGATGATAATAATAATAATGATGATTTATTGGATTGATGACTACAACCTTCTGTATGTCGACGATGATTAATCATAGTAGATAAATAAATATTTTTTTGTTGACATGGTAAATCAATTGGATGAAATAAATGATAATTTGATTGTATAGAAGATATTATATTTGATTTATATTTATACCAATAATCTTGATTATATTCAGTTTTTATTTGTTTTTTATAATGTTTTATTGATGAATTGATTTTATATTCATGATACTTTATGATTGTTGATAATTCTGGTAAGGAATTAGAACGTTGTATTATAAATGGGAATTGTTTAATGATTGATCGATTATATTGATAATTATTAATCAAATTCGATCGATTATTATTATTATTATTGTATGAGGTATTTGTAGTCATTGAAGAATTACATAATATCTGTGATGATGTCATTAAACTTTGATAAGATAATGGTGATGATGCTCTACGTCTTATATGTTTATTCATTTTAGTTAACATAGTTTTAGATAATAAAATATTATCAGAATGATTTATATAATCTATATCACTATATTGACTATCAGTAGATGATATACATGGTATACATTGTTTAGATAAATTAATAGTTTGTGGATAATTATTAAAAGAATATGGACTTAATGATCGATTTGATGGATTTTTTAAATTTGATTTTATAGATTTTGTTGTATATGATCTATGTACATATGGGAATCGATCTGATTGAAGGTACTGTTTTTGTTGTTGTTGTTGCTGTTGTTGTTGTTGTTGGTGGTGGTGGTGGTGGTGGGGGTTGTGGTGATGGTGATGGCGACGGTGTTGTTGTTGTTGCTGTTGTTGTTGTTGTTGTTGACATATATAATTATCTAAGTATAATGATTTATTCATATTATAATTTGAAGTTAATGAAATGGAACTAGAATGTTGTAAATCATTATTCTTATCATTTTCATTTGATGTATAATATTTTATTGCATTCTGATTTATATTACAACAATATGAATTTCTATTTTGATTTAAATATTGTAAATTAGATATTGATGAAGGTGTTCTACTTATAAATGATTGATAATTTAATAAATTTTGTTTATCTAAATTATTATTCTCTTTAAGATTTCCATAACTTGAAGAATTTTCACTTATTGTTGAATGATAATATTGTTGATTAATTGACCAATAATTAGGTGCTAATAAATTTTGATAACATGATCCTGGACTTGATGTACCAGATGTCCAATGATGATTATTTGATTGTATAAATAAATCATTCATTAAACTAGTACTGAAATTACATTTATCATTATAATTTAATTCATCAGTTGTATTTTCTGGTATTTCTATTACAATTTGTGGTGTCATTGGCATTAATGGTATATTTTCAATCATCATAGAAGAGGTAAGCATAATTATTAAAAAAAAAAAGAAATAAATAAATCGGTTATTTTTTAACTCATATGCATGATTTTATAAAATGAACAATATTAAGCAAGTTAACATTTTTAAAAAAAAAATAATTTTTTTAATTCTTAATTTTGATTGGTCTATATTAATTAACCAATCAGAATTTTAATTGTAAATAAAGATTGAAAGTATTATAGATTTTTGATATTTCCTTGATTATCAGAAGGGGTTTTGTGAAGATATTAGTAATTTCAATAGTTCAGTCCCATACTAGGATGAAACAGCCGTTCAGTGCTTCTCAGCTTTCCATGGTGGTTTAGCTTTAATTGACTAATGATTTCAACTACTGACATTACTAAAATCTCCACAAAAACCTTTCTGACAATCATCATCTGCTCACTAGTAACTGACATCAAGAGATACTTCTGGAGTTTTAGTGAAAAGCCGTAACCAGTGGAGTTTAATGAGGTCTCTTGTGAGATAGTCACTTACGAATGATAATGGTGGATATGTCGTCAATTTCGTGGATTGGTTGAAGTTAGACAATAACACCATTGGATGGCGGTAGGCTCAGTGGTCTAGTTAGTTAAGCGTTTGCGCGCGAGACTGATAGATCCTAGGTTCGAATTTAGTCGGGTGCGGGATCATGGATGCGCACTGTTGAGGAGTCCCACAATAGGACGAGTTGGCCGTCCAGTGCTTCCAGGTTTTCCATGGTGGTCTAGCTTAAATTGACTCATGATTTCAACTATTGAAATTTCCGTCGTTGTAATTTAAACAAAGCTTTATTCTAGTCAAAGTTAATCGCTTATAGAGAAGAATATAAAAAAGATGACTGTCTTGATGAAGAAATCCAATGCCATATATTGTTATACTATCCCAACTGATTATATAAGTTGGATAAACAATAAAACTGATCAGATATTTTCGAATTTAAGTGAATCAATTAACCGTTGTCAAATCTTTTTTAGAAATAATTACTAGTGATATTGTAAAGTAAATGGAGATATAATCACTTGATGAGTTCTAAATAGAACGGAACGTATATCATGAATCCGATTGCTAGCCATTATCTAACACTACTTAAGGTCCTTGTGACTTTAAGTTAATTTTAAGGTTATTTGAGCAGGATGTACATATGCTGAAACCGACTGATCAGTTGCAGTTCTAAACATCATTGTAAAGATTTAAATAACAAATGCAAATGTAACTACTGCAATTCCATTGAATGATTTGATTTGGTTGCTTAGAATGCTATTTTTAAAAGTACCCCCGTTTTAATCAAATGTCTTGTCTTAAGATAACTTACATCAACTGTAATTATAACATTTCCTCAAAGAATTCTAGCAATGTTGTGTAAAAAAATTGTCTTGCTACCCTTACTTACTCACTTTACTTACGCCTGTTGCCTTCAATGGAGCATAGGCCGCCAACCACCATTTTGCAACCCACACTATCCTGGGCTTTCCTTTCTAGTTCTGTCCAATTTTTGTTTATTCTTTTCATGTCTGTCTCCATTTCTCTGTGTATTGTGTTCTTTGGCCTTCCTTTCCTTCTTTGGCCTTAAGAATTCCAAGTGTGGGCTTGTTTTGTGACGTGGTTGAGTGCTTTCCTCAACTTGGCTTTCACTATGATGCGTCATAACTCATTTAAATGGAGACCTTTTAACTTCCATAGCAGAGTTTAAATGTTTCGAGTTACTTTTTTCTTATTAGCGTTTTTTAATGAGTTAGTTTTCTAAGGGATAAGGTCGCTAACCCCATGCACAACCCTCCTTTATCCGGGCTTGAGACCAACAGTAGCACCTAAGTGGCCTTAGGCGGAGTTATTTTACTACCCATATAAAATTAAATGTCACAACTAATGGTAATAGGTTTTTTTAACACACAGTTACTGACGAATCGCCAATACTCGTTACGTAATATATTTTCCTAGACGTTTTATGCATATTAAGGTCTTGTAATTTTTCTTTTTATAACCTTTTAAATGTGATACTGAAAAAAAAACTATTTTGTCATTATCTTGTTTTGACATAGGAAAATAGGTTGGGTTGACAAAATTTTAATGTGTATACATTTATTCAATAATACGCTTACATATATGATTGCCTGTTTTCTCTTACTAAATGTCAATGAGCCACTTAACATCATCTTTGATCTCTACAATGTTATATTAAGTAACAATATGTTCTGTTTTTTACACAGATTCACTTTTTTGTTGATAGTTTAATCTTTGAATAATCGATTTCTGACTAAAGAGTTTGCTGAATATGGAAACAATTATTAATACCTTGAACTAAACTATTTCCTATAGTTAGGCTTATGTATTGTAGATCTATTGTGCTTTTCAAAATAAGAGTTCATCAAGTTATTTGGTTTGATGCTGACTGATGTAAGACACTTTCTTGAGATTAAATGGTGGTTGGAGGGAGTCGACAGGAAACCCTGGAAATGGGTTTCATGCTACTTGGCACTCGTCAGTCAGGTGTACCTGCAATCTTGAGGAAACTGGTTCTCTCTGACGGATTCGATCCCCTGTCACCCAGCTTTACAGTCAAAGACGTTACCACTGGTCTATCCGGGCTGCGACCAACCTCCTGAAGGACTGAGATGTAATCACAGTTGATTGATCACTGAGTGGTGGTCAATGTCATGAGTGTCAAATCCTTATTAGTGCAGATCGAACGCTATCTACCAAGTTGCAATGTGGCCATCAGTTTAGATGACTCGAAATTGCATGGCATTGATCACCACCCAGTGATCAATCAATTGTAAGACACTTTCGTTTATTAAGGAACATCAAACAGTTTTTTCAGTTCTTCAAAATACATGATGGTAACAAGAACCATGATGTTTAGTAAAACAGTATTTTATTTAGCAAACTTATGGACTGAAAAACAGAACACAATCACGTATCGATTACAGTCTCAATACCAAAACGTTATCCGACTGTTATTTACTTGAATTTTAAAGTATAGATAGATGGAGTTCAGCAGTGGAATTTAAAACTCACGTTTCGTCCTATTCAGGGCTTTTCTCATGGATGTGGCTAGATCACAGAGTTGTTGAACATAAACCCAGTACCGTTTACTTTAAATACTATCGTGTTACCCTCATATCTACTGAGCCCAGATAATCACTGTCTTGTAAAACAGGGTGAATTTTGATTTATATGTACTGGATACCTGGATCTTCCATTGATATATAGGATTTCAGTTGATCAGTCTCTTTTGGTTTATGTGTATTCTATATAATTTGCAACGTGATTGTCATTAAGTCACATATGAATGGTGACTATATCAAGGCATTCTGCATAGGATGGACAAACGCCAAAAGAGCTAAATGAATTGAAGTTCTGAACATCAATTATAAGATTCAAATAACCGATATATCCGAATTCTTATTTGGTTGGTGAACAAGTTCTGGTATTATTTTATAAATTCCATAGTTTATTTATAACATGGTATTATGCTTGAAAATGATTGGCATTTATTTGAATACGAAAACAGCCTGGTATATGTATGATTTTTTTTAAGTCGTCACGTTACATTAACACAGTAAAATGAAATAATCAAGAGAAATCAAGCATTAATAAAAGTAGTAACAATACCAGTGTTGGGAGAAAGTACTATGCATGAACAATATGATTGAAGAAATAATGTACTTGTGAAATTAAGTGTAAGATAGCTTTAAAACTCAGGATTAATGAGAAGGCGAAGAAAAAATGCATATTTGCCATTATGACTGATTCCGAGTCATACCACCTAACGTCTAGAACTATTGGTAACGGTATTAGTCATGACTCTAACGATATAATCTATTGACATGACCCAGTCAAACAGTCAAAACCTTTGTGAACAGATTCGACATTTTTGTGTAACCACCTTAGCTTTCTCTCTCTGCGCTTTCTTCGCTTCGTCCATCTGATTGTCTGTTCAGATCAATGAGTGTGCAAAATATATGAATCCGAAAATCCATTTTCGTATTGGACTTATTCAATTTCGTTATTAACTAACGCGATTGAAGTCGATGAAATATACAAGGATTGACGATATGTATATTATCAATAACAATCATTCATACAACATATTCGAAGTCAAATATTGAGCCACTCTAAAGTCAACATTACACACTTTTTTTGGATAATTGAAGTTTTTTTCCATGATGTTCAACAAAGTAAAGAAGAATTTATACTTTCCATGTGCTCCAACCTGGTAGTTAGAGTTGATTTGTTTACCCAGTGATTTAAGTATAAATTTCACTGCCTTTGATTACATATCACGATTACTTCTGTTTAGATATGTATACTAACAAACTCATACACATAAATAAAATATGATCATCATAATATGATTACATCCTCCCAAATTCCCTATTACGGTTGAAGGTGGGAAGAGTCAGCTCTCCCTCTCCAAATGCTCTGCCATGACCACGCGTATACGGCCACTGTCAAGGAAGTCCTGCTCACTGTCTTTTCGCGGCAGTGTCCGACGCTTTAACTAGGTTGGTGGATATTGTTGGGTCCACATAAAGGAGTTGGAAAACCTTAATTTCAAACCAGTGGTGCACATGAACTCCAGGATCCTGAGGGAATAAATGACGTATGAACCTATTATTGGTCACCGGCCATCATAAGACTGAATCTCTTGAGGTTGATCACTTCTTTATGGATCAAACCTGTAGGTCGAAGGCTCACAGCGTGGCCCCCTCAAGGAAACCATCTACTTGAATCTGGACCCCCGGGCAGTATCACAGCCGGCACACAAATCAAGTAGCTAGTGTAGCACATATGTATTCGGTGATATATCAAAAGATTCTGGTAAATTTTTTCTCAGTTTTAGAAGTTGTGGAGATTGTCAAGTTTTTGATTAAGATCATGAACCGATTGATGTTAGGCCACCATTGAATACGTGGAAGCACTGGATGGCTGTTTCGTTTTATTGTGGGACTTCTCAGCGGCCGGCTGAGTAGTCCAGTAGGTTAAGCGTTCACGTGCGAGACCGA